CACGGGGAGACGCCGCCACCGTCCTGCGCGCCCGGCCCTCAGGGGAGCTGCGGGGAGGGCGCTTCCGTAGCGGGGAGCCCTTCCTCCCTGCCTCCTGCTCCTCCCTTTCAGAGGCCTTCCCTTCTGCTTTTCTTTTTCTTTCTTCTACCTGTTTTCTTTTCTTCACTTTTCTCTTTCCTTTCCCTTCCTCCTTCCTTCCTTCCCTCCCTGAATTTTCAGACTGCTTGCTTTTTCTTTTCTTTCTTTCTTTCTTTCTTTTTTGTTTTGGTACTGGGGATCAAACTCGGGTCCTTGTGCTGATGAAGCCGCGGGGGACCGCTGAGCGACATCCCCAGCCGCTCCCTGAATTCCCCACCCCCGTCTTTGTCTCTGTCTGTCTGTCTGTCTGTCTGTGTCTCTCTCAATCCCCTCTTCTCTTTACTCCCAGCTACCTGTCCACACATGCTTGTCTTTGTTTTACCTTCCAAAGCCTATATAATGTTGGCTCCCAGAATCTTATGCCTCATGCATTTGCAATTTTATTTTCTTTTATTTGTCATATTATTATTATTATTATTTGGTACCTGCGGTGGAACATGGGTCCTGGTGCTTTCGAAGCAGGCGTTGGAATCACCGAGCTAAATCCCCGGCCCTGTATTTGCAATTGTGTTTTTTATATTGCATTGTGGGTCTTTTAATACCACTAGGAGCCTGGGGAAAAGAGCGCTGAATTCCTGAGCTTAGTTTCTGTTTCTTGCAGGCTTAGCTGGAAGAGGGCTCGAGTGCACCCCCACCACTCCCACTACCCCCACGGGGTCAGGGCCTGAGCAAGGTGTCCCGTCTTTCATCTGCATCTATTCATCTCTATTTTTTTCAAGACCAACCGTAAACACATCTCAAAGTAGCTGAAAGGATTAAATGAGGTAACAACACGGAAACTTTCCTTTTTCTTTTGTTACCAGGGATCGAACTCAGGACCTTCCACTTTCAAGCCAGGCAGCGGCACCACTGGGCTAAATCCCTGGCCCTGGGAAACTTTTTAAAGTCTCAGAGGGAAGCCGACTGCCTGCTGCGTGCTGTTGGATCCCTGCGGCCCGGCTGGGGTCCTGCTTGCACTTGCTGGTGGGCCTGTGTCCTTCACAGCCTCTGCCTTCAGCCACAGCCTAGGCGGTGCCCCCACCTTAGGCTGGCTGCCCTCAGCTTATTTATCTGTTTATGCAGAGATGGGCACGGCTCTGTGTCCTGGGCTGACCAGTCTCCGGCCTCAGTTTCCGGGGCAGGGATTCTGCCAGTGCCGCCTGCCAGCCCCTCACCAGCCGCCTTTAAGCAGCAGCCACACCTTCCTCCTGTGTCTCCTAAGGGTGTAAACTGGGGACTGCTGCACCCTTACACCCCTTACACCGGGAGAGGCAGCCTTCATCTCTCAAACTAAGCTGCTTGGTTGTTGTGCTTTGCTTTGTTTTCGTTGCTGTTTTACCGCTGCCACGGTTCCTACAGTGTTCAACGCATTCCTCAGGGCCAGCCGGGAATGGAGGCCTTGGGTGTGCTAGGCCGGTCCTGTGCCCTGAGCCTCACCCTAGCCAACCCGTTCTTAACTTCTGACTGCCTCTTAGCCAACCCAACGGAATACTCCACGAGCGCCCCACTTGCCTTTGTGACTCTGATTTCTAATAATTCCATTCTTCAATATTTGAGGGACATTGGTTCCAGGAACCGCCTCCCCAAAGAAGCCAAAATCCAGGATAAAAAATTCCTCAGTCCTACTAATTCCATTCTTCAATATTTGAGGGACATTGGTTCCAGGACCCGCCTCCCCAAAGAAGCCAAAATCCAGGATAAAAAATTCCTCTCAGTCCTACAAAATAATGTCGTGTTTGCATGTGACCTGCACATGCCCTGCTCTATACTTCAAGTCCTCTCTAGACTACCGACACGCATAGAGCAGTCTAAGCGCCTTGTATGTATCTGTTCCGTTGTTCAGGGGTAATGGCCAGAGAAAAGTCGACACGCTTTGTACAGGCAGTTTTTTGCTGAGCTATGCTGAGCTACATCCTAGTCCCTTATTCATTTATTCATTACTTTTTTGTTTGGTACCAGGGATCAAACTTTGCGCTTTTGAGGCGGGTGCGGTGCCACTGAGCTACCTCCCCGGGCCTCATCACTTAATTTTGAGGCAGGGTTTCTGGTAGAGTTGCCTGGGCGTGGCTCCGAGCTGCAATCATCCCGCCTCATCCTTCCAGAATGTGGGGGTGACAGGCGCGCTCCAACCTGCCCAGCTCAGACAAAACTTCCTTAGCGTTTTCCTTCGGTGATTGGCTGAAACCCAGGTCGGCTGATTGTGCAGATGGGGAGCCCAGGGGTGCGAATGGTGGCTGCACAGCAGGAGCGGCCATGTGGTGTAGAAAGAGGAGCCCCGAGCTCGGCTTCAGAGGCCTGGTGGGGCTGGCTTTGTCCTCTCCTCGCTGAGAAGTGTCCGAGTGACTTTCTTCCTCGCTGAGACCCAGTACGTGACACCTGCACTTCAAGGGGGTTTGCTTTGGCTCATGTTTCAGCATGGTTGGCTGACTCCAAGGCAGGACGGCACGACACGGGGACCTGGCGGATGTGAACTGCTCGCCGCATGGTGGACAGGAGCAGAGGTGAGGGAGGAGCCAGGAAGGGAGTTCAATCCAGACTCCACCTCCTAACAGCAAGTCAGCTGTAGGCCCCAAGTCCTCTTACCTGCCAGAGGTCCTGCCTATGATCTCATGAGGCTTTGGGGGACATCTAGATATAAACGGTAACATTCCACCCCTGCCCCCCAAAAGACTCATGTGCATCTCTTTATGCAAATCGCATCTAGTCCATCTCTAAGAGCTGCCAAAGTCCTCACAGTCCCAGCTTGCTGAAAAGTCCGAGTGCAAAGTCGCCTCTGAGACTTAGGTGAACTCTTAGCTGTGTGCTCCCGTGAAAATCAAAAAGAAGTTAAATCACTGCTGAAAAACAGTGGCACAGAGTAAACATCGCTATTTCCAAAGGAAGGGGCAGAGCCGTGGAAAGGAATGGGACCAAAGCAAGACTGAGAGCCAACAAGACGCAAGACGGACGTTAAGTTGCGCCGTTCCATGCCCCGCACGTGAGGAGGCTGTGGTGAGCGGCGCAGTCCACGTGGCTTGGGGGGCTGCACCCCCGCAGCCGCACGGTTTCTCTCTTGGGCTGACTTTGCTCACGCCCTGTAGTTTTCCTCAGACTTTCTGTGGCCCTCAGTTCTCTGGCTTTCTGGGGTCTCCCTCATTCCCACAGCTTCACCCACTGCCCTCTCAGGGACGCCGCCCGGCCTCCCAGGCCCTCTTCTGAATTCTGGGTGGAGCCTTCCTGACCCCACAAGCATTCTGCGTGGGTCTAAAACCAGCACCAGGTGGATGACGCCAGGACCTGCTGCTGGCTCCCGCAGAAGCCAGGCCTGTTTGCATCAGGGCTACAACAGCCTCCGAGTGCCTGGATGCCTGAACACTGGGAACAAAGTCCCAGCGAGCCAGGCCCCTAGGCTCTTCTGCAGCAGTGTTCCCGAGGCTCCTTCTCAAAGCAAAGTCTCGCTTCTCCACCCAGGGCCTGCAACAGGTAGGATCTTTCAGATTTCTCCCATGCCCTGAAGACATCCTTTGTATTTCCCTGGTGTAAAGTACTGGGCTTCTCTTAATGCGGATCTTTGCAGCAACCAGGCTTTCCTCTGCTCCAGTTTTACAGGACCCAACTTGACCAGACTCTTGCCTCAAACAGCGTCCAGCATTCTGGGGCTGCTTCTCCACCTGCCGTCTGCAAACTTTCCCAGACTCCTCTAGTTCCAGAGGCTTCTGAACCACACAGTTGGGTTTAGCTCTGGCAATGACTCTGCTTCTCTGGTATCAAAATCTGTCTTAGTTACTTTCTTCCTTTCTGGAAGGAAACACCCAACACTTAGAACACTTCACCATGGAGAGGCTTACTTTGGCTCACTTGTCAGTCCACACTTGGCTAGCTCCAAGGCAGGGAGGCAGGCAGAACAAGAAGCAAAGGATGGAGAGAGGAGCTGGGTAGGGAGACAAAGCCCTCCAGGCCAGGCCCCGAACCCACCTCAGAACAGCAGGTCACCTCAGAACAGCAGGTCGGCTATAAGCCCCATGACCCAGCCACCGCCCCACAGCCCCTCCTGTGAGTGCACAGGCCTCTCAGGGGACGTCTGGATAGAAACCATAGCAACACATAGCGAGACTGTATAATAGTGTTTGGGATATTTCATGTGTGCAATGTCTTCTACGTTCATTCATGTTATAACAAATGACAGAATTTCCTGTTGCTATTTGAAGTCTTTCTAGTATTCCCTTGTGTATGTTTATCACATTTTTAAAAATCTACTCATTACTGGGTGTGGTGGTGCACTCCTGTAATCCCAGCACTCAGGAGCCTGAGGCAGGAGGATCACTGTGAGTTTGAGACCAGCCTGGGCTACACAGAAAGTTCCACGTCAGTCTCAAGTGCATAGTGAGACCCTGTCTCAAAACACAACAACAACAACAACAACAAAATCTACTCATCTTCTGACGGACAGGTTGTTCCCTTATCCTGACTATCGTGAATCATATCACAAGGAATGTGGGAGGGATTTTTATTTTCCTTGTGACTTTTATCTTCCCTTATTTTAATCAAAGAACGGAGGTTGGGTGGCCTCCTTGGCAGGGCACTGGTCTACAGGTGAGATGAGCCAGTAGCCTCTTTTATGGGACAGGGACTGAACTCAGGGCCTCATACATGCTAGGCAAATTCGCTACCACGGAGCTTCATCCTCAACCCTTTTTAAAAATTTTATTTTGAGACAGAGTCCCACTAAGTTGCCGAGGCTGGCCTTGAACTTGGCATTCTCCTGCCTCAGCCTCCCCAGTAGTGATGATTCCAAGTGTGTGCCACCATGCCTGGCTTAGCCAGTGGTTTTAATATGTTTGTAATTTGTTTTCGTCAGCTTGGGGTGCCACAACAAATTACCACAGACTTGGTGGTTTGGACAGTAGAAATGTATTTCCTCATGGTCTAGAGACTGGAGATTTAAGATTAAGGTGCCGACAGGCTCAGCTTCTGGGTGGGGCTCTCTTCCTGGCTTGTGCACTGCCCCTTCTCTGTGTCCTGCAGCAGAGAAAGCCGCCAAGCTCTCTGGTGTCTTCCTGCCTGGTTCCATGGGACGCATCACGCCCAGGGAGAGGGCCCACCTTGGGGACTCCTCTGAATATGGTCTCCTCCTGGGGCTGCACCTCCAGGGTCCTCAGATTGGGCGTCACGTCTGGATTTGGTGGGGGACACGGATCAGTCCGTAGCGCCATCTAGAAGTCCCTAAGATGGACTGCAGAAGACTAAACAACAAGGTGGGAGAGCCCTAAGGCGTGCTGAGTGTCGCTGAGGAGCACACAGTGGAGAGACCCAGAGGCCAGTTCCGT